TGAATAATTATAGAGAATTGGAAGATGACTGCATGATTTTTATTTTATTTTTTTAATATGAAGAATGAATTGAGGAAGTTATTGAGATTTTCTTCTTGCCTTTTCATAAATAAATATGATGTTGTGGTGATGCCTTTGACAAACAACATGGGTAATGACCCCTGTTAAAATAAGAGTATGAGTGTACAGAAAATGTGGGTACACTAAGCTGTCTGGAGGGTCTTTGCCTCAAACTGATCAAGTTAGAGAGGAAGCCTGTAAATTATAATGTTAGGGAGGACAGCCAATTGGATTGAACAATAACTGAAGAATCAAAAAGAGAATTTTGAAATAAAGAAGTAGATTTTTTAAATAAAGAAAAAAGAAAGAAGCAGATGAAAATAAAAAAAGACAATTTACAACGTGGGGCGTGGGGGGTGTGTGTGTGGGGTGTGGGTGTGTGTGCAGATATTAGGCTGGAAGGAGCTGTTGTCAAATCCTGCTTTGGTATTTCCAGAAGTTATCCCAGACATCATAGTCTCTGCCTAGAACAGAAAGCATAGTCTTCCTTTTGGAGATACACTAGTCTGTGTCCAGCTAGCAGATTGTCAGTATGGGGTTCAACAAAAAGGCCCTGTTGTCCCCCTCCTAGTATGTACATATCTGAATTTGGATGCCTTCTCCCTAGCATGTGGATCAGCAGATTGAAGGAAGTGGCATGCATTCAACTAAAGCTAGAGCACTCAAGTTTCCTAGGGGTGGTGTGAGCAAGTAGCGGAACACATAGAAAAGGGGGGTGTGCTTGTAACCCACTCATCCTATGAGAGAGGATGAGTGCTCAGGCAGGTGTGTGCAAATGTGTGTATGAGTAAAACTTCTTGGAGTTAGAGAAGGAGGTTTAGAAGTGTGTAGTTGTTAATTAAGATTGCAAGCTTTATGGTATTACAGTTACTGATATGAATACATAGTTCTCCGCCAGTTAACTATGCACTGTTAAAACATTAACAAACTAGTTCAGTCCTGATTTTCATTAAAACTTTGTGAACTAAATAATTTCTCCCTGTGACACATAATGAAGCAACGTGATTTTTAATCCAGGCTTAGAAAACAATACAGGAAATCTTCCAGTCTTCTTAACACATTGCCACTGCAAAGCAGCCAATTAGTCCATTTGATTTGAGTAGGCATCCAGAGCTACATGATAAGGATTTGCTGCTCTTCTAGTGAGCTGTTGGAAGAACCCTGCAATTTTCCTGTATGCCATAAAATATTAAGTCCGACTTTTGTCTTATTTAAAAATATTAATTCTGACCTGTTCTTTTTGAGAAAAAACATATAAACAATCTCCTTTTTCAAGCCAACATTTCTTGCTATGTGTATCATTTAACCTTCAGAGCACATTGGTGGAAACCGGAAGCATGGATACCACCGCCAAACTATGGCATATAGAGAAAGGAGAAGAAATAGTCACTTTAAGTGTATATTTGCCTTTCTTATGTTTTTGAAGGTGTTCCTTGTTTTCTTAGTTTTCTAACTGAAATAAATAACAGTATAACCCTTACAATAATTTCAAAACTTCCAGAGTTTATCTCACAAGGTGATCTCACAGTGACTGCAGTTACAAAACAGATTAAGGAAATGTGAAGAGAATGATAAAGCTATAGTATTTTATAAAAAGTCTTACTTATCAAAAGACAGATTTTCTCGTTTTAATGAAGCTACTGCTATAGGCTAGAATACCTTCCATTGTTCATTAAAACACATGGCAAACTATACTGTGGAACACAAAATTATGAGAAGAAACTTCTTTCTACACCAACAGGCTGCCCAGGGAAAGTCAAAACCCGCTGGACACATTCCTGTGAACATTAATATCTTTTGAGGTCCCTTCCAATCTCTAGCATACTGTGATACTGTGATACTGTGAAAACACATGGCTATACTGTAAATTATGACTTCTTCTACACCAACATAAAGTAACGCTGAGAACATTAATATTGTATACTACATCTGTATGGATCTTCTTCCTGCAAACATCAGCAGAGGACAGCCATACAATGACCTCTGTATTGTGATGCCTGTTTGCTCTGTGTGGTTCGCTGGGATTCCACAGGCTCAGATTGACTGTTTTTGCTGTTTCAAAGCATTTCTCTTACATAAATCCTAAGTAATAGGTAGTGCAAAAGTTTCCTTTAGTATATGCAGCCTGGGCCTATAGTTTGAGGAAAGCATTTTCTCTTACTTGACTTCCTCTTCCTCAGAGCCCTGATAACACAAAAGAGTTGTGGAATGTGTGAAGCTTTAGCTTGTAAGTATGCTCACATTCATTTTTCCAACCCTATTCACCAACACCAGTGACAAGCTATACTTCAATTTACTGTAAATGAATCATCTGAGTTCAGTATGCGTTGGTAAACAAATGTGATTCTGTTTAAATCAAATATGAAAAATATGCACTGATGACATCATTGAACAGTTGCTCACTGCTTAAGTGATGCATCTGATTTTTTGCAGTTGTTGGAATACCCACATGTTGCTATTTATTCTGCTTATTGATTGGATGCTCACACTGAAGTTTGAAGCCTGTACTACCTTTATGACCTCCAGAAATTAAAGCTTTTAAATATTAAAATGGCCAAATTCACAAAATTAAGAAGTTTTCCATTGTTGTTTTCTGCTTGCTCATTTTTGGTTTTATTGTAAAAAGGTGTACACAATTACAACAGTGCAGGACTCATGCTGTGAAGAAAGTAAAAGGAGTAGTTCTATCAGATGACATGAGTATAATCCAGTTTTTGTTATCATAAATAGAAAATTCAATTGCTCGAGAGATTTGCTTTGCTGTTCATTTAGCACATACATTAATTTAGCTACCCTTATATATCTTCTGCAATGAATAAAAACATTTCAGTCACCCGTTTAGTTGTTTTTCTAGTCATTAATTTACCCATTTGTTAACACAGTTTTCTATTACTTATACAATGATGCTAGCATTGTGATAATAACCTAATTTACTAATCCTTTAATATATATATCCATCTTTTTAAGGGATCATTGCCTTATAAGCCATTATTTCATAGGGAGCAATAATGGCAATTGTACCCTCTATTCAGTTAAAGCTGAAAAATTTAGTGGAACTAGTATTGCCAGTCTTGTGCAGGAAAAAGTATAGGATTAATGAGGATTAAGAATCATATTTCAGTTTGGCTGTCATTTGCCTGTTACTTGGGAACATGCTCATGTTAAGTGACTGAATAAGTTCCATTTGATCTTCTGTGGATTTTATAAAAAGTTTAGATTACATAGAGTTCTAAAGGTGTACTGTTTGCAGTTTGTTGAAGTAGGAGAATAGGAGAGTAATGTGGAAAAACTTGCTGTGTGAGCTTTGTATGTAGATGAATACAAGAATTTTGTCTGTGGCATTGTAAAGTCACCACATTTCACTGGAAATATGTTCACTAAAATATTTTCAAAAAAGACAAGGAAACTTTTCCATTTTACTCCTTACTGACTCTGTCTCAAAGTTAAAAAATGGAATTGATATAGTACAGGAATCCAAAATGAGCTGTACAGCTTCATATAATTGCTTTAATGGATAAAATGGTGAATGAAGACTTGACACCTTAACTGTACTATTTTATAAACTTGCTTATAATTTATATGTGTATATCAAGATACACACTAAAAATTTAAATTCTCTTTTTTTGTAGGATGTTATATACTTTAAAAGGTTGCCAAGGAGAAATTAGCAGTGAGCAGGTCAATTGGGACTGTTCTCTCATTGTCACTGGATCAATGGATAAAACATGCATGGTAAGAAAGTTCAGTAGGTATTGAATACAGCTACTTTATATATAAAAATAAATATTTAATAAAGGGAAGAGTGTTATTTTAAACCAGTAAACACAATTAATTAAAGAACTGACAACTAAATGCAAAACCTATAAGCTTAATCATTTCAGTGAAGTCCAGTCAGAGAACAATATACATTTTAAGGATTTTTTTAATCATTACAATGAAATAAAAAATACATAGGACTTCCTTAAACTGATTAAACAGTGACACCTTATTGATTTATATCCAGGTTTCAAGTTTATACATTGTCAGACATCAGAAAGGGCCTGTACATATTACTTTATGGATCAGCTAGATGTCTGTCAAGTAAATTAGTCAAAATATACAAAAATGCTACCCTTGCTTATTGCTTATCTATGCAGATGTGAAATGCTATGATTGGGACACATATAGCAACTGTAAGAGATCTCAATGAGGAAATATTAGATGTCTGCTTTGATTACATGGGCCAGTTATTGCAACTGCCTCCACTGATGGTAAGTGAAGTGCATAAATCACAGGATCAGAGTGGTCTCGGTTGGAAGGAACCTTAAAGAACATCTAGTTCCAACTTCCCTGTCATGGGTAGAGGCCTTCCACTAGAACATGTTGCCCAAAGCCCCATCCAGCCTGGCCTTGAACACTTACAGGGATGGGCTAGCCATAGCATCTCTGGGCAACCTGTTCTAGTGTTGCACCACCCTCATAGTAAAGTATTTGTTCCTAATATCTAATCTAAACCCAACCCTCTTTCAGCTTTACAATTTCAGCCATTCCCCCTTGTCCTGTCACGACATGCCTTTGTAAAAAGTCCCTCTCCAGATTTCTTGTAGGCTCCCTTTAGACACTGGAAGTCTGCTCTAAGTTCTCCCCGCATCCTTCTCTTCTCCAGGCTGAACAAGCCCAACTTTTCACAGGAGAGGTGCTCCAGCCCTCTGATCATCCTTGTGGCCTCCTCTGGACTTGCTTCAACAGGTTCACTTTCTTACGTTCTTAAATGAAAAAGGTAGTTGGAAATGTAAAGGTGTATTTGCTCCTAGGCTTTCTAAACGCACAGCAGGAGAATACATAATAAAGAAGTAGTGAAATAAGAAATAAGCAGTTTTATATGCTTATTATTTTTCTAGGAATTACAATAAATAGCTTTTAATATTCACCTGCATAGTGTTATATTGTAGTGCACAGTGACAATACCATATTATTTTTACATACTTAACTGTTTTGATTTGCAGTTTCAGAAACAGGATACACTAAATGGGTGGAACTACTTGGATCTGATTTGCTGTAGTTGCTGAATTAAGACATAGGACAATGTAAAAAAATTTGCTGAAATGTAATCAATTAATGCTGAAATGTAGCTTATTAAATATAATTAATAGCTTGTTAAATAGAATGAATATCTGAAATCTAATGAAGGCTTTCCGAACATATTGTACATGCATCTACTTCAGTAGTCCATGTTCTATGTGGATATTTGTTTTTACATTTTATAAGATTTCAAGCTGAAGCCATTAAGAAAACAACCTTTTCCAATTGCATTACAGATCTTTTTTGAGATACTTTATCCTTGGGGGAAACTGTCTCCTATGTCTATTGAAATCAAGCCTGAGGATGAGGCCTTTCTGACCTTATTAAAATGTTCTTATTGAAATGCATGCTTAAGCATGACAATCGCGAATGGCTCCTAATCTACTACAACAGGATCAGCAAATCTATAATGCAGAAACAAAAAAGTGCGTTGCAAAACTAGAAGGGCACAGAGGCGAAATTTCAAAGGTAAGTTGTTTGTGGTTTGCACCTTTTCTTATTTGATTATGTGTGACATCCAGTCCACCAGTTGTTCCATGACACAGAAATACTGTTAAAGAATGTGGTGGTAAAATCATTAATATTTAAGATTGAGAAGTCTGGCTAAGAAGATACCTTTACTAAAAGAACATTCCTTTCAACTAAAAACTATCAGTCAATGATTCCAGTTTGAGCTTAGATAATCTAGGTGTGCTACACCTATAGGTTTCACCAAAAGCCACCTCTCCATATTGTCATGTTATTGACTATTTGATCCCTTAGAATTGTGGCAGTCAGCAAGCTACTTAAGAAGTCCATCCTCCCAGGGATGAATACCTGACTTCGTTAACATTGAAATGTTTGGTTTTTCTTATCTCTTTCCTTTTTCTGAAACACTATATAGATTAGGTCTCTGTGTACAGTTCTGGTGTCCCCAACATAAGAAGGACATGGAACTGCTGGAGAAAGTCCAGAGGAAGGCTATAAGGATGATCAGGGGCCTGGAGGACCTTTCATACAAAGACAGGCTGAGAAAGTTTGGGCTGTTCAGCCTGGAGAAGAGAAGGCTGCATGGAGACCTCATAGCAGCCTTCCAGTATCTGAAGGGGGCCTACAAGGATACTGAAGAGGGACTTTTCATCAGGGACTGTAGTGGTAGGACAAGGGGTAATGGATTCATATTTAAATGGGGGAGATTTAGGTTAGATATAAGGAAGAAGTTCTTTACTGTGAGAGTGGTGAGGCTTTGGAATGGGTTACCCAAGGAAATTGTAAATGCTCCATCCCTGCAGTGTTCAAGGACAGATCGGACAGGGCTTTGAGCAGCCCGATTTAGTGCAAGGTGTCCGTGCCCATGGCAGGGGGATTGGAACTAAATGATCTTAAAGTCCTTTCTAACCCTAACTATTCTATGATTACCACTTTTGCTGCACAAGACAAAATCAAATCTTTGTTCCAAGCAGAAGAAAGTTGATGATATTTCTGTTATTACACTGGTTTTAGTACATACTCAATAGGGCCATGAACAAATTTGTATAAAGGCAGGGTCTTACCCTACCATCTCTGCTACGGGCATATACCAGCACCAAACCAGTGACTAAGCCATTTCTCTCAATGCATTGAAGTGAAGGAGGTTTAGATGAGCAAAAGGCAAAGTTTTTTAAGGGAGCACACCTTTTGTGTATTTGGCACCAAACTCTGTTCAGGTTTCCCTCATTTCAGACAAAAAGTTGTGGGAGTAGGGAAAAGAATGGTACAGAATATTTGTGATTGCTTTGATCTTTTGATGGAACTACCAAAATATGGGATGCAGGATGACCTCAGATAAATAAATTGCTGTAGGTCCTAGTGTCTCTTGCTAGTCATGGACAGAAAAATATTTCCCTGGTGCCTTGGCATTCTGTGTAGTATGTTGATGTAGGTATTAACAAAAATGGATAATTTTATGATACACCTATATGATTCCTTTGCAATTGCTTTTATTACTAGGCAGCAAAGATAACTCCTGCAGAATATGAGCCTGACTAAAGTGAATGAAAGATCCAGTTTGGTATATGCCTACTTTTTGAGTTTCATAGTGTAGTGGTTTAAACCCAGCTAGACAGCTCGTTCACTCACTTCCCCCCCTTCTTGCCCTCCCCCTACTCCTGGAGGGACGGAGAGGAGAATTGAAAAGAATGCAACTGCCACAGGTTGAGATAAGAACAGTTTAGTAACTAAGGTATAACACAGATCACTACTGCTACCACCAATAATAACAATGAGAAAGGAAATAACAAGGGAAGAGAATACATCATCTCACCACCAGCTGACCAATAACTCGCCCCCCCCCCAGCCCGAGCAAGCACCGACCGATGCCTCCTCCAACCCTGCAGACTCCCAGCCCTTCCAGGTAACTCTTCAGTTACATCCTGGGCATGACGTGCTGTGGTATGGAATACCTCTTTGGTCAGTTTGGGTCAGGTGTCCTGTCTCTGCTTCCTCCTGGCTTCCCCTCCTCCCTGGCAGAGCATGAGGCTCACAAAGTCCTTGGCCAGACCAAAATGTCAGTGTTCTCAGCTCTGTTCCCAGGCCAAAAGTCAAAACACAGCACTGCACCAGCTACCAAGAAGGAGAAAAATGACTGCTGCTGCTGAACCCAGGACACATAGTCAACAAACTCAGTCTTTCAGATCTGTTTTCTTTTAAGATAAAATGAAATGTTTTCTTGTATTTCAGTTTGTGCATGTTGCCTTTTTATTGTGTACTGCCAAGAAGAGTGGCTTGGTTACCTCAATCACCTCAGAGAAATGATTAGTGTTAATGAACTCAGTATGATGGCCCCATCCTTTTGTGTATAATTTTTAACTTGTACCCCTTTTAATAAAACAAAATACATCACATGTGAAACATAAATACTCTCACCTGTGAAAGGGGTGTTGTTATGCACTTTCTCTGAGTGCTTTTGGGTTCTTGGTGGTTTCTTTTTTGTGTGTGTAATAAATAATTGAGTAAAAATGCTACTTTTGCTGCTTGTAATGCAATGTCCCTCTCACTATTTCCAGAGAAAACCAGTAACCATTTGTGGTTTGCATTGCTATTAACTATTTCATGCATGCTGCAACTCCCACTCACCCCTCCCTTCACACTTGGGCATATCTTTCCATTCATTCCATTCCTTTCTGCTCAGCCTTCATTCTCCCATTTGCATCTGAGGTAAAAAAAGTAATAGGTTTGTGACTCCAACCCTGAATCCTAGGCCAAAGATTATGGCCAACATGAAAAAACTCTATGCACCAAAGATTTGGACCCAAGGATCATGACATAATCTGAGGAGTATATGAGGAATTTCTGTAAGTTAATTATCACTATTCAATGAGCTCTCACCTAGGCTGACCTCTTGCTAGCAATTGCCAACAGGTCTCACCTGTATAGAGCTCTCCCCACTTCCTAACAGAGCACCTGAAACCGCAGCTGGTCTTTGCGGGGGACTAGCAAAGGAGCAGAGCTGACCAGTGTCTTACAGCAGTCTTGGAACAAGGATGAAAAGAAGGTAGGATCAAAGAAAGTATGTGTGTTGATTGAGAAAAAAAAGGAAGAAGCAAAGTGTGCAGTGCTTTATGTTGTATATCTCTGGGTGGTTATGGACTTGACTTCTAGATGTCATGTTTAATAGGAAGTTACTAATGCTGATGTGTTCTGACTATCTCTGAGTGCTTACGCTTGCCTGCATCCTTGTGTGCAAATGAAGAAACAAATGTGCCTGTTATCACTTGGCAAATACCCTGGTTGTTTCAAGTAGTGACATGTTGGGGGAGAACTAAGCAGTGTGCTGCAGATAGTTTAAAATTAAACCTTTACCAGTAAGCAAAGTGGCTGATATTAATGTTACAGTAATGCTTGTGGTGTTTCCTGGTGTCTTGTGCAAAGATTTATGACATCAGAAGTGTATCTCAGTAATCCCGAACTGAAAGGGGCAGGAAGGGCAAGGCAGTTCTCTGTTACTTGAAAATTGTCCAGTGTCCCTGGATCAGTTTGCACCTGCGCTTATAGGTGGAGGAAAATGTGTAATGAAATGTGTACAAATACTGCTACATAGTTTGAAATTTGACTTGTTGTGTAACCATCAAAAAGCAAAAAAAAAAAAAAAAAAAAAATCTGGACTGTGATTAGAAAGTAGAGGTTTGATTTTTATTTTTTTTTCCTCAGTCTTTCAGGCTAGATTATTTACTTTCTTTTGTCTTTTCCTTTATGCTTTGTCTCTCATAGTATGCTAGTGACCCAGTGAATCAAACATCTGAAGTAGATTTTGGCCTTGAGCTCTTGTCCTATTTTTATATGAAATTGTGAGTGACGAGGTTTCAGAGACTAAGAGTTGGACTGGGAGGCCATCTGGGTTCTATTTCTGCATTTCCCTGGATGCACTGAGTAAAATTGCTTTTCAGGCCGAGTTATCCAGGTTTCCTGCTCAGATATGAAATACTTTCACATCTGGTGTGATTCATGGCTCACGGCACTGCTGAGAAGTGCTCTGGCTTGGCACCTCATAAGAACTTCAGTAGTAATCTAGGTACCATCATACAAATGTTTTGATGTTAGGCTTTCTGCACCTTGGTTTACCCATATGAAGATTTAATATATTATAGAGGTATACATTGGGAGTGCATTGTATAGATATATCACCTTGAAACCATTCTTTGTCTCTGGTAGCAGTTTGATCCTTTTCTCTAGTTCCACTTCAGTCTGCACTATCAAACTAGTGTATGTGCATGCTTTAACTGTATTGTCTGGTGCCTTTTTAATCTTATAAAAACATTTGCCTTGTACATACCTTACAATCTCCAAGAGGTTACTTTAATTGTTGGGTGTTTGGATTGGGATGTGGCTTTCAACATTATCCTGAAATGCTGGCAAACTGGATCCACTGTGACCTCATTGAAAAGGATGACCTCTGGAGACTCCTGAAATGTGCTTTAGTAAGGACATATGATAAATGTGATAGAAATCATATTTAATGTACTGTTTCTGTCCTTTAGACCTCTGAATCCTTCCATCATATACCTCTATAAATATGTGAGTGTGTTTTTCTGGGAAAGAAGCCCTTAGCCTGTATCATGTAATGTCACCAGGACAGATATCCATGTAAGCGCACAATATGTAGTTGGACTGTTGATGTATACTTTCTGTATCTCCTGAGATTCAAATTCTTTTCTGAATAAGTGAGGATAATACTCATACTCATTTTTTTTAAAGTGGCATCTTGTGAGAATCTCTCTTTTGCCTCCTTCTGCTGTTAGAATTTGCAGTTCCTGGGTAGTTAGTGAAAGGATATGAAATAAGTCCTTGATTATATTTGTTGTCCACCATTATATAGCTTGGTTATATTTTCCAGTTTGCTGCACTTTACTGCCTAAATTTCAGCAGATGCTGGGGGGGAGTATCCATCAGTCAGATCTGTCTTCATGGCAAATTGTTTTAATTAGTTTGATAGTCCAGCTGCCTAATTCAAGTGTCTGTCCTGAGGAATGTTGTACAGCTGTTAGTTGTTTTCTGAGGGCCTGTTTGATGTGATGAGTGGATCTGAAAAACTGAAATAGTAGCATTATGAGTTTGCTTTAACCTTCACTTAGGAATGGTTCTGCCTTGAATTAAAATTATTAAATTGGCTAGTATGGATGTGCTTTCTTTCTCAGCTGAAATTTTTGTTGTTTATTAAGTAGACCATGTGGGCTCTATATGTCAATGTTTGGTTTTTTGGTTGGGTTTTTTTGCTGTTGTTGGTTTTTGGTTGGGTTTGTATTCTCTAAGTTTTGAAAGTAAGAGTTCAGGATTCATGGTGACATTCCTATGCTTGTCTGTCACATAGCTCTGCATGAAACTGGAGAAATAGTAAAATTGGCCTGTCCAGAAGTTACCTGCTGAATTTGATAGGATGGCCTGTAAACAGGTGACCATTTTAATCAGACACCAATAAAATGGTTAATTTCCTTAAAGACACTATGAAAGTCTTTGGTGGAATGACAAAATTGAAGCAGGTTATAGTTTTTCAGCTTCTAGTGATCTCACCTTTAAAAGCACCCTGAACAAAGCCAAACTAAAAATGAAGTTTTTAAATACTTATTTTTCAATAGGTAATTTCTCCTGAGTTTGAATTAATGTGTCTGCAAGCCAAATTCTGCTCTTCATTAGGTGTGTGGTAAAGTTAGCTCCAGGGTGGAAGGCACCTTGTCCTGAAACCGCCTTGCAGGGTGAGAAGGGGAGTGGGGCAGGTCTGGCTGAGTTAGGTGCTGAGGCAAGCATCTCTGCTGTTCCCAAAGTGGTCTCTGATGGCCAGGATGTCTCACAAGGGGCGTGGGGTTTGACTTCTTTAGTAAATTGTGGTGCATCTTTTTCAAGTACCTATATGCTCCCACTTGAACTTAAGCACAAGTATTGTAACCTCTCATCTGTGTCAACCCTTTTTATTTGCTTTGCATTGCATGAGGCTTGTGTGAGTTCCATTTGTTGGGTCCTAGTTTGTATTGGGAAAGATAGTGAGTAGCCGTTCCCTTTGCACCCTGGTGATATTAACAACCTGCATCATGCTTATGTGTACACAGAGGCTGAACTGTAGATAACTTGCTCTGTGATTTTTCACCTAAAATTGCATGTAGTATGATGTTCTTATTTATGTGTATTTAATTTTGACTTTATTTTTTTTCAGCCTGTTTTAGTGGTGGATAAGTCATGCTCTGATTTACCCAGCTAAGTCTTGGTTTCCTTTTCTGTTTAGAAGTAGAAATAAATTCCCTTATACCTAGGCAGTAAATACCTGTACAAACTTAAACAAGCAGAAGAAACTGCTGAACTTCTGTCTCTGACCCACCTGCCTGCTTTTGCAGGTACTGAAAGCAGCTGGAGAGATTTTCCTATGTTGGGAGTTATTTGAGGGTTAGTTCACAGCAATGAACACGTACTTCCTTTTTATTCTACTGTGATATTTAGACCGCTATGATTTGCCTTGTATCTCTTGAACGAATTGTGGAACCTATGTAAAGCCGTAGCTTTGATGCTGAGGTAAGACATGGAACTTGCCCTGACTTCTTTTGGTCAGGGCCATGGGTCAAGATTTTCATTCAGAATGACAGCCTTGAGATGCTACATGGATGGCAGGCAAATGTTATTTAATAAGTCAAAAACCCCATAGTACATGATGAACTTTCTAGGAAGGCAAAGAAAACACATGTTATAACACAAATTTATTTCTGAATAAATTGCAACATTAAGAACTATTGTACAGAGAAACCGCATCACACTGGTACAACTCCGTCATTATATTTGTGCTTTGTAGGATAAGTAAACATTTATTCTATCACAGAAAAAACTTGTATACTGACACTAACTGTATTTGGTTTAAAAATAAAAACACTTTCTCATTTATTGACTCAAAGCACTTTAAGTCTATAATACTTGGTGCTTTTTATTAACTTTCAGCCTCAGAAATGCTGAGCATTCAGAGTTGCCACTCATGTTAGTGGGAATTACTACCCAGTGACTGCACAGTAGTGTTCAGTGTATGCAATAAAATGACCTTTATCTCACAGTAAAGCAACCTTCACTGTTTTGTGTATGCTGCAGAGTAGATGTAGATTAGTCTTGTTGTTTAATGTTCCACATTAGATTTTGATTCACTAACAATTTGTGTTTCATGAGTGATGCAATCATGCAAGTTTAGGAATGGTTTTAAAGATAAAATTGAGAATATGGCTCTTTCATAAATTATTTTAAACTATTTTAAAATTTTCAAAAATATTTAGTGCAAAAGGATGTTGTTTTTTTTTTTTTCCCATTTTCCCAAGAAATATTACAGAAGCATATACTGTTATATGGAAAAAATAAAACATCTCTTAAATATTTTACTGGGAAAAGCAGGCATGTTTTCTATTATGCTATTTAGGTAGAGAGAGAGAGGAAAGATAAATATTTTCAAAGAAACAAATAATAGAAGAGCTCTGATGTGATAAATACAATTACCTTTAAATTCAAAACCAATCTCTTTGGCAGAATCAAGAGAATGCATCATTAAGTGCATGATACTAACAGAACATCTCAAGACGATACCATAGATTATTTTAT